TAGTATCTGTCATTACTTTTAGACACCTGCATGTTCCTACCTGTCTGATGTTTTACTTATGCATAAGCATCAGATGTTGAACTGAATACAATCTCTTCTTCATCATTTTCTTTTTTTTTTCTCTTTTCTTTTCTGTTTTGTTTATTTATTTATGTATTTTTAATAGTAATAACAAGGGTGTTGTCACCACTGTACCAAGTTAGTCACCCTCTGTTGGTGCAATTCAGGGCTTTCTAAGTCACATAACACAGATATTAACACAATATCATCATCATACTATAAGATATATCGATTAGGCCTGTCTGTCTACACGGTAACAAGTATGACAGAACTGACACAGCCCGGGGTGCTCCAACATTCGTTCATTCGTTTTGACTACCAATGACAAGATTTGGTTCACTTTAACGATTTAAACCTAATTTGTGAGAAAAGAAGCACATCTGAATCAGATCAGGCGTTTACACCCAGTTTTACAAGTTTTGACACAAAGATATCAGCTTGAATTCTATTGAATGCAGAGGAAAAATCCAAAAAGGGGGCTCTTACATCAGTATTAGTTTGTCTAAATGTTTAGAAACAATACAATACAACAATGTATTATGTTTGCTGTTTATCTTGTTTTCTTTTTATTTATTTTTTAAAAAAACCTTTGTGTACTGCGTTAGACTAACCTACTGTTTATACTTAGTGCTAATTAAATACTTTTATTTTGCTATTTACACTTAAATGACATCTTATGATAATGCTATTTGAACAAACAGAAATTGCTATCATTTCTATTATACACATCCATGCTGAATTTATCTTTAAAAGTTTGAAGGTGTTTCACTGTTTTCTTTCATCCTGCGACATTTAAGCAATATCACATGATCAAGAGTGCAGTTGTACTAAATAGCAGCACGGTTGTGATTTTACCATAGGTGTGTGTGTGTGTGTGTGTGTGTGTGTGTGTGTGTTTTGTTGTTGTTGTTTTCCCCGTGAACTCTGGTAAAAGAAACCACGAACAATCACTATGAAAACATATCAAAAACCTCTGCACCAGCACTAAATGTTATTTAAAGAAAAACTAAGTACTTGTAAATGTATTTACTCTATTTATAAATAAATTAACACATTATTATTTAAACTTTGCAAAACATTGTCATTGTGCTGTTAATGGTCCTCTCATCAGCACCTGCAGTATCTCTCAGCTGTATCAGTGCAGTCACTGTGACTCTGACTGACGGAGGTTTTTGTACGACTCTTTATCACTGTGTGAACACACAGCTACTAGGACAGTGTGCACTCTGACAGTAATAATCTCCTGTATCTTCAGTCTGGACTCCACTGATGGTCAGAGA